ACTTTTTGTTTTACAGGAGTGTGGCTTTCGAAGAAACGATTTATGGGGGAAATAAAATAATCGTAATGATTTTGAAAGATTCTGAAAGATTCCTTCAACCTGCTACCTAATAAGGTAGTCTATTTGAAAACAGACTATGGCTTATGCTTGGTTAAAGACACATTTTGCGAAAGCGCAACGCTTTGATTGAGCGACATTTGAGACATATAGAAGAGTAACTAACGAACCTTATTAAGTGGCACACTAGGGCTCTTCGTAACTCTGCTGCTCGACGGTTGAGATGACTCAGTGCCCTCATCTTCGATATCTTCGAAAATTGTCCCTTCGTCGGTCTCCTGAAGACGGCTTCATTTATTGGTAGGAGGTCTCCAATAACAAATTTAAGCTCACTTTGATTGGAGCATGCTTCCGCGTGCTTGCCCTACGATCTTTTCGTACTGGAACGGATGCGGCCGACGAATCTGAATGTGGGTCGGTGGCCGTCGGTGTGTACGATCTCGGCAAGTCCAGCGGCCGACACGCCAGGTCGTCTTTCAGTTGTGTCAGTTCAATTTGGCATCTGCAACGGAAAGAAACGAAATCTACTGATATGAGAGAACCGCAGGAATAAAGTAGAGCGATTCTGGAGCTTAGTTTCCCTTTCTTTACTGTAATTCATTAGTCACTTCCATGATGAGACTAAGAAGTCTCGAAAGCGATCACTTCACCGGCGTATGGCCGGGGAAATTTCGAACAAAGTTGGCTGAGTAATGGACCTTAGTCTAATATTCAAGTAAGTCCTCACTTATGTAACATTGCTCCTATTGAACTTGTGTAGTAGTTTTTTGACTCCATCCTCTCCAGAATCTCCGCCTGCCACATTGCGTCTTGTTCACAGGAAGGTTTTTGCTTCACCTGAACATTACAAAATACAAATCGAGGCCAGTCAAGCGTACGTGAATTTCGAGTATAATCAATATAAGCCATGAAATCGTTCAGGTCCGAAATGGTGAAAGCCGTAGTGTACCTCACGATGTGCTTATGAGGATCACATAAATTTATCAGAGGAAGTTCACAGAAAAAACGTTCGATGCCGACCAATTCCTTGGGATGCATATTATTCAATTCCATTCACTTCACTGAACGAATGAACGAATGGTTTCACGGCCGAGAAGGTTTGGGAAGGGAAAGTGACACTCAGAAATAATGCTGGAAAAGCTCTTTTGGATGGGCGAGAATCCAATCAGGAACCTCCGACCGCGTGAGATCACCATCATTCATGTACCTTAAACTCTCCTAGGACAACTTGTAAAAGTGAACTGTTGAATTTAAACTCATGGAGAAACTATTGCAATACTCATTAGGTTACCAAGTGGAGGTCATTCGGTGGTTTTCCATGAATCTCGGCAAATTTAAGCAAGGATTATATAACGATTGACGAACCCTGTTTTGTATAACAGGCAGAATAAGAAGAGCGATGGGCAGCTCGGCGTGAAGAATGAAATCGATGAATTGGCATGCACTTTGACCACTCTCTCTTTGAAAATCAGATCTAAAGTAGGATTCAGTAACGAACAATTCTGTAAATTTATTTGCTAAGAATCTAGTGAAGAAGTAATTACGAAATTGGTTGCCCAAACGTGCGCAGGGTTATAGTTTCCGCCACAAAACCATTACCAAGCAGACAAGAAGATGTATTTTCGCAGTTCCGCTTAAAAAGGTGGTAATTTTGAGCCATATGCTTCAACGTTATAAATCGTAAACTCCCTAAACCATTCCGTCTCCCAGTTTATTTGGCGATCTGGACGAGCTGCGTTACTCGTAGCACTCGTAGGACAGCATTGTTAGGCTTTCATTTTGTAAGGGCAGTTCTCTCTCCAAAAGGCCTGTCTCCTTACTTTAATCGTCGTAATGCAATTCGGGATGCCCTCAATAGCCCACCGGCAACGGCGAAGCAAGAGACGCAGACCGCATAGACGAGTCGCAGTGCATCCTGTACTGTAGGCGGTCAGGGATGCGACAATTCGCTTGGGGATGACCATGATTTAATTAATGTTCAGGCTTCATGACGAATAAATTCGAATGGTTTTATACGGCGTGTTTGAAGGTTTGGGGAAAGGGAACGTGTAGACAGCATAAGTGCTTTGGGATAGGCGAGAATGTCAATTTGGGAATTTGACCTCCGGACCGCGTGAGTGAGTGGCACCTTCTGTCTATGTACCAACTCTCCTAGGACAACTTGTAGAGGTGAACTGTTGAATTTCAAACTCATGGAGAAAGCTATTTCGAATTCATATAGGTTCCAAGTGGAGGTCATTCGGTGGTTTTCCATGAATCTCGGCAAATTTAAGCAAGGATTATATAACGATTGAACGAACCCTGTTTTGTATAACAGGCAGAATAAGAAGAGCGATGGGCAGCTCGGCGTGAAGAATGAAATCGATGAATTGGCATGCACTTTGACCACCTTGCTTCTTTGAAATCAGATCTGAAAGTAGGATTCAGTTGAACACGACATTTTGGTAAATTTAGTAGCTAGAAATCATAGTTGAAGGAAGTAATTAAAGTGGTTGCCCACGGGGTAGGTGTTATGTTTGCGCCACAAAAACCAGTAGCCAAGCCGGCAAGGAAGATAATATTTGCGGCAGTTTCGCTAAAATAGGGTTGGTATTTTAAGCCATAAGGCTTCAGAGTTTATAATCGTAACGCCCTAAACCATTCCGTCTCCCAGTTTATTTGGCGATCTGGACGAGCTGCGTTACTCGTAGCACTCGTAGGAGCATTGTTAGGCTTTCATTTTGTAAGGGCAGTTCTCTCCAAAGGCTATGTCTCCTTATTTGTCTGTGTAATGCGTTCGGGTGTCCCCCAACAGGCCCACCGCGCGGCGAAGCAAGAGACGCAGACGCGGCAAAGGGACGAGTCGCAGCGCATACTGTAGCGGTTAGGCGTCAGGTTAAAGAGAGTGTACCACACTACGTCTCATATCGCACAGCACGCGCTGCAACTCGTCTCTTTGCCGCATCTGCGTCTCTTGCTTCGCCGCGCGGTGGGCCTGTTGGGGGACACCCGATAACGAGGTGACGCACACATCTTCAAATGACCCGCGAAATCAGACCCCGTTATTTCCCCCTTCATTTTCGATCATAAAAGAGCGGCGGTCAAGAAAGAGCTCTTCGGACGTGTTTATCCCGGAAGTCGGTATCACGTCAAGGTACAGCACGCTTTGCTTGAACGCATTTGGGGTGTCCCCCAACAGGCCCACCGCGCGGCGAAGCAAGAGACGCAGATGCGGCAAAGAGACGAGTTGCAGCGCGTGCTGTGCGATATGAGACGTAGTATGGTACACTCTCTTTAACCTGACGCCTAACCGCTACAGTATGCGCTGCGACTCGTCCTTTTGCCGCGTCTGCGTCTCTTCCTTCGCCGCGCGGTGGGCCTCTTGGGGGACACCCTTTTTCGATACACTACGCGCCTCTTAAGATCTCCATATATCTTCCTAACTCGTCCAGAACCCGTCGTAATCGCTGTCTTTGATCATAATGAGGGCAACTACCGAAATGTCAGTCAGTACATACTTCCTCAGGTCAACTGGGTGTAAACTCGAAAATGCTCTGTTCTAGATTGCCGAAAATGTCTCATCTTCTGTTTTGCCAAAAGGTTTTTGGTTCTATCAACACTCTATCGCCTCCCTTCTTCAAGATTTGGGTGTGGTACAGCCCAAAAAGTGAAGAAGTCTTCTGGTAATACACAAAGAGATACCCATGTTGAAATCTTATGTATTATTCTAGGCTATCTGTCACGACTTGGCATACTAGCCGGATCTAGTGGCTAAGTGATAAGCGGTCTCAAAGTTGAAACAACGAAAGGGTTCGATCGAAATTCGCAGTTGTTCATGAAGCAGAAACACTTAAAGCAACCAAACCTTTGACTAAACGAGCGACTCTCGGCCACATCGGCGTCAGAAGCTTCCCGAAACAGAGCATCATCACCTTCAGTGCTGGAAGGGAATAGATATTAATACGTACTGTGCGATTTGCGCTTTGAAATTGAGTTTGTAAAAAAATAGCTCCGCAAAAAAATTGTCAGGGAAGCTCTTTCAAAGAATGGTCTAAAATTTTTACACGTACAAACAAAACAAGAAGCCGAAAATAACGCGTTACCTAGGTATATGCACTGAGAAACGCTGTCTCTTACGATGCGTAGGGTGGAGACGGTTGCTGAGTGCCCACGATCAGTGACGGATACCGAGCCTTGTCTCCCGGATATGTCTGAAAATATCTTGTGAACCAGAATAGCAAATAACCTAAAATTTGGAGAAATCATCTTTTCTTGCAATATATAAAGTTCATATCGTAAAACTTGTATTGGCTTCATAGTAGAATTCGATGATGAAGTAAGGGTGAGCAGTAGTTAAATTAGTGATCATGCAAGCATAATAAAAAAGTACAATTTCTTTTATCTTGAAGTTAAAGGTAGAAGAAGTAACCAATGTACTTCTCGATGTGGGGAAGGTGGGGGAGAGAAGGCGCCTTATTCTGCGGGTCCGCTTGACCGCTTACCATAGCTAGAGAAACTTAGCTACCTAGAAGGCCGTCTAAGAGCCTGAGACAACGTTGAGGGATGGTAGTTGCGTCATAGGTAATGATACACATCTCTACAGGAAGTTGAGCGAATGTGAGAATTTATTTACCTACACTCGTTGCGCCCTTCGCTTTTATTGCGAGTGTTCGATTTTCAGCTTCCTTTTCACAAAAAGGTTCGGTCATTGTGCTAGGTTCTCTAAATAAAAAACCCTGGTTGGGTTGCTAACTCAAAATTATACTCATACGGAAGCACTGCGCCACAGTGAGCACTGACTGGGTACCAAATTGTTCATAAATGGGAGCAGTAATTCTGACTGTTCCTAGGGAATTGAGGAGCTCTAAAAACGGCAAAAAAACCAGAACCGTGAGAATACACGCATCAACTGGTGGGTGGTTTGCGCCGTTGATAGCGGAAATTTCAGCATAATGTAAATTAGATAACAATTTATATGGTATTCCTAATGCAACCCGTAAACAGCTACGATTCAAAACGAATTCATCACATAAGCTAATGTTAAGTTAGCAGTGGCACTCATACGAGTATATAATAAATAAATAAATAAATAAGCTGTAAGCAGAAGTTCAAAATGTCAAGGAGCGTTATAATGGGTTTAGAAAGTTAAGACGGTCTACTCGCGTGAGTGGTGTCCAAAGCTGAGAAGTATTATGATACGGTTCCCCAAAATTTTTGTTCCTCGTGGTCTTAAGAACAACTGGCATCAAAAGAAGACAACTCTCGTGGCCCTGTGGCCTAATGGATAAGGCGTCGGACTTCGGATCCGAAGATTGCAGGTTCGAGTCCTGCCAGGGTCGAAACTTTTGCATTACTGTTAGTAAGGCACATTGACGTTGATAACTCTTTTTTCGAAATTTCTCTGTTCACGAATGTATTAAGGACGTGAGTGCGCTTAATTCTCAGTTCGAAATCCCTAGTGTTGGCCTGTACGCTCCAGCAGCATTGAAACATTTGGAAGTTGTAGGAATGATTCTAATTAAATCCATGTAAAAGTTTTTAAACGTCGATCCCATTCCCCCATTTCAGTGAAACCAACCATGCTGAGCGCTTCTGATGAACGACGTGGCCAGAGTGGAGGTGTTCGCCAATGGAGCGGTACTGTGCTTCCCAGCCGGAGGTGATATGGCATGCTGCATCAACGACAAACAAAAAGCCAGATCCTTCCCTTGAATGATCGATGCTTCTGAAAAGACACGTATCGACTCAATCACAGTGAAGTAGGTGTGAAGTTAGACTTGCAGACGATAGAATACAAATGAAAGGGGAGTGATCGGTTAGCTGTTGAACAGCAATGAAGGCACATTTTTGTTTAAGATTTAGAGGATAAATGTGCAAAAAAAGCAGGTCAGTTAATTTGTGCTACGATCGATATCTGATAAATCTAATCATATCTTATTTATCATCTGAAGAACCAAAAATGTATTACGCGCTCAAAAAATATGCTATGCTTTGAATTTTGCCTTGAAAAGCAAGGAAACCGCAGCAGTTAGAAGTATTCCAGAGTTAGTTAAAATATGTAAGCACATTCCACGATTATCTGACCGGGACAGTCACCTCGGTCCGTATGAGATAGACTTCCGGAAGTACGCGGGTTGCACCAATCGCAGCACATGGGAAGCCCTGGAGCATATCTGCATCAATCTCTACCATTCACAAAGAATGCATTGAAGCTGAAGCCTTCCAAGCTGGTATGATGGGTCGGCGGTTGCTGATACCGATCCATAGCCCTTGTCTTCGCATCATTTTGTAATGCTACATTCATTATATTGTGCGTGACGCCGAAAAAAATGCTGTTGGCGCTGCGAGAGTCTAGACAGGCTTACAGATTGTGTATATTTCACACAAAGGAACCTTCGTGCGATCCGCTGTGGAACTTACGAGCTCTGAGAAATTCACAAATAGAATCTTCGTGGACAACTCTATCGTAATCGAGGATGGGATTGACCAAATCGCTTCACCGTAATGGGACTTCAAGCCGGTTGGGCACGTACTTAAAGGCAGAATTTACGATGAAAAGTGAGCTAATCGGAGATAAGGGTAGAGGTGGTCAATGGAGCAGGTATGAAGAG